GTTTGGGGGTGTGGCGGGCAGGGTCCCTGATGTCCCTGACGTCCCCGATGTCCCCGCAGGAACACCGTCGCCATGTTCCCGGAGGATCGCAAGGAGGGCAGCCCCCGTTTCGGGAAACTCCACTTCCCCGTCGGCCTCTGGATCAACTCCCCCAAGAAGCGCCTGGCCAAGATGAGCCGCCGGTGGCCCAGCGCCGGCTCCGTCAGGTGAGAGACCCCCGCCCCTCTTTTGCCATCCCCAGCGCCCCACAACCGCAACCCGCACCCCCATAACCCCCCTCCCCGCCCGCAGATCGACCTCCTCGGACACGGCCAGCCGCGGCAGCGAGACGGTGGAGCTGCGTCCCCCCAGCAAAACCAAACCCTCGCGCCACAAGCGTCTCTCCAACCTCTTCCACCGCAGCGGCGCCGGGACGGGCGCCGCCAGCGCCGGCGGGCGTTGGGCCAGTGAGAAGAAGCTGGCGGAGCTGGTGGACCCGGTACCCGAGGTCCTGGTGGGGGGGGAACAACCCCCCGGCCAGCGCCAGCTCCCCGGTATCCTCAAAATTTTTGGGGGGGACATCTCCCGGGGGGCCAACTACAAGAGCGTTTTGGCTACACCGCGCTCCACCGCCCGGGAGCTGGTGCGGGAAGCTTTGGAACGTTACGGTTTGGCTCCGGAAGAGGGAACGTCGGGAGAATATGTGCTCTGCGACGTGGTGGGGCGCCCGGGGGGTCCCGGGGGGGCTTGGCAGGTGGAGCACCTGCGGCCGGTGGGCGACGCTGAGCGGCCCTTGGTGCTCCAGGACGTCTGGAAACCGAAAACCGGCTGCTCCCGGCGCTTCGAGATCCGCCGGCGGCAAGAGGTGGAGCGCATCTGCGAGGGCGAGGACGCCGAGACCGCCGGTGAGTTCCCCCCGCCCCGTCCTTGGTGGTGCCACCGGTGCCAGCGGTGGGTGGGTGACACCGTTGTCCCCGTCCCCCCCGCCCCCAGGCATCAACGCTCAGGCCCGGCGGCTGCAGAAGAGCCGCTCGCGGGCGGCATCGGGGGGCCCGGCCCCCGCCAAAGAACGTGCCGACAACCTCTCGCTGCGCCGCAGCATCAGCGACATGAACCTCAGCACCAAACGGCGACGGGAACGGAAGACGGTGTTGAGTGTGGCGGGGGGCGAAGCCGGGACCCCCACAACCGACGAGGGACCCCCCGAAACCCCCCCCGGGGACGGGGTGGCTGGTGAGGAGGAGGTGGGAGAGGGCGCTGGCCTGGAGCAGCTCTCGCAGTGCCTCATCCAGCCCCCCCAGCAGCACCCCTACTTCCTCCTGCTGCAGGGCTACGGCAAGCAGGTGAGTGGGCGGCGCGTGGGGGGGCCCCCTCAAAGTTTGTCCCCCTCTTTCCTCACTCCCAAAGTGCCCTCTCCCTTTCCTCAC